CAGATCGGTCACTTGTTTACGTATGCGCAAATCTGATAAAGAAAGTAATTGTACACATGCGTATAACGTAAATACATACCGTATACGAGAATAAACACTACCCCTTCTACACTATTTTTTTTTAAATATCAAATTAGCCAATTCATTTTCTACTAATTTGAAAGTTTTGAAAAAATGGGGTTGAAGGAGTGGTGCTTATTTACGGTAGATATTAATATGAAAACCCACCATTTCCAACCTCCAACCTCAAATTCGGGACCAGTTAACATCCTTTCTAAATTATTCCAATTAGTAACATGCCATGTGTGATATTGGAAATCTTTAACCTGATAACCAAAATCTGGGATTTCATTCGCAACAGCTTCATCTGCGAGATATGCATGAAGTTTAGTTAACGTAAATGCTTAATACAAATACACTTGTAAATTTATTTATTCTATTTACTCATTTATTTATTTTTACGAAAATCTATTTATTACAATATCTTTATTATAAGCTTTCCAAAGCATTTAAAATATTTGTAAAACATACAATTCATGAATCCTTTATTGTCTAACAGACGAAAATAATAAAAGTTTTTTTTTGTTTATAAAGTTTAAAAGGTTTTCCAAGACAAAGAGCTTTAAATTTATGTATGCATATATGCATGCATATACGTAAGTCAATGCATTTGTGTTCCGAGTAGGTTAATTTTAATTGATCTACATGTGATCACTAGGGATGGGACACTGCGCAGGCGGAATATTTCGGAAGTTCGGACTATTTCGGAAGTTAACACTTCTGGCCCACATTAGCAGTAAACTACCATAATGCAGGCCTGCGAGTAGATTTAAAAAATCCTCGATTTCCCCATTCCTAGTGATCACCGTGATAATTAAACGTAATTTTTAAAATATTTATCATTTTAATACTATTTATCAGATACACTAAGAAACGAAAAAAAAACTTCATATAAAGAAGCTTATAATATAATTAATTAATCTCACACACATAAAGAAGGGTAC